TTAAAAGGCCGCAGGTAGAAGCAAACTTACAAATAACTGATGCAGTCCTCAAATAAACACCGTAGCCATTCTCGGGCACCCAAACAGAAGAATGCGACGTTTAAACGCGAATTATAGTAAAAAACTCGGTACAACTCGGAAATTTACACCATCCAGACAATTACGCACCCCTCTGTAGCAGAGCCAGTGAAACCCAACCTAGTGGTTTAATTCAGTCTACCCAGTAATATTTTAGCCTCCCCGGTACCTGGTGAATAGTTTGTTTCTACCCGGCTAATTTTTTGCGTCCCCGGTAACTTTCTATTGTGAGGTGACCTCTACAAAACTAGTGTATTTCGTTATTCATATTTGTTTAAAAGAGGCAAAGATAAAGAAACATATTTAATTACCATTGACAAAAAAACATCTAAAGGGTACCAGTAATAAATTTCGCATGAATTGTGTAAATCTTTTTAAATTACTTCTTCTCGCTAGAGCAATATATATAAGTTTTTCAAAAGTTTCGTACCGGTAAAGATGTTAGGCCTGCTACCCCTTTTAGCTTTTATGGGAGGTACACAACTAAGAAAAAAATTCAGTGGAAAATAAGCCTTCTAAGTGACGTTTTCTCCGAGAAGCCAGAGAAGTTATAGATTCCACTAGGTCTGTGGCAGAGGCGGTCGCTGTATTTGTGATTCTATCCGCTCAGCAAAATAAGAGAGACACTGGAAGGTAAAACATTTTTCTGTCCTAGTTTACGTAATATTTACAAATAATTTACCGAATCTGTTTTCAGTGATTTAAAAAATGCGATTCTGAAATAAGCGCTTCCCTTGAATATCTCGGTGCCGCTATTAGAAATAAAGCCGCACCGGAAAAGCTAAACATTTAATAAACGCAACGGTGTTTGATGGAGTAAATACGGTACAGTCGAATCTCCACTAACTGCCACCTCTCTACAAGGGCCACTTTTTTTTTGTCCCGGTAGACAATCCATACATTTTAACATTTACTCTTGTTTAAGCTTCTCTACAACGGCCGCCTCTACAACGGCAACGGCCTCTAAAGCGTGTCGCTTACTGCCAAAATAATCTCTCCAAAACGGCCATTTTTTTCAGTAACTGATAAGAACGTCATGAAATTTGATCCGTAAGGCGCGCTGATGATTAATCGCGGCAATCATATTTTGACTGTGTTCAATTTATACTGCTAAAGTTAGAATAAATTGTCTACTATTTAAAAATACTTGTCTTGTTTCAAAATATTATTCAAGTTTTTTTGTGTGTGTATCTTATTTTTCTAAATATTGTTTATGATTTAATTAACATTATGGGATACAGTTAGCTAGAAGAATTTGTCATATGACTTCACCCCTACCTCACCACAACAGCCACCTCTCACAACAACTGCCACTTTCTTCTGTTCCCAAGGCGTTGTAGAGAGTTTCGGCTGTTTTCATTTCGTTAACAATTGCACCTAAAAATGTAGATCACGTGACAGTAATCATTTAAAGATGCCAAAATTCCATTCTATCTCGTCCGATGAATGAGAACTTATTTTATTCTTATTTTCTTTTAGTTCTGGAGATAAGGCTTAATTTGAGCGGAAAACTGCCTCACCCTTAGAGGGCAATGGTAACTACGAGAAGGAAACTGATACCCCGCGTGGACAATCGGAAGGCTAAAGAGCCATGAATAGCGGTAACTCGTACCATTGCTGTGCACACAACATTCGGCAATCGGTAAACACTTTCTAGAAGCCACAATAAAAAAAATCTTCCGAATGAGAGCCAATAGTCCAGTTTCGAATTAAAAATTACCGCTGAATACAAACATTAACGACACATTCATACAGGGTTAGCCTCTACTTGAAGTAACATATTCTGAAATTCTGGCAAGTAAGTGTTTGAAATTTGAATATACACAATAGACAGAGTAATAAACAGGTCTTTTTCTCGTTGGAATTTGTGAATATATTACTTCAGATGGAGGCTAAGGCTGTAAAAATGCGTCTTCACTTCTTTAACTCAGCGGTCATAGCGAACTCGAAAATGGACTATTTCGCTTTTTAAGAATGGCCACGAAAAATTTGATGGGGTATGGTAATGTATGATAATGAATTAAAAACAAAGGGAAATAAAATTTAAACTAAGTATAATATTCAACCACAGGAACTCCATCAGTGCTGAACTCTTTGTTTAACTTGCAACGTATTCTTATAAGTTACTTTTCTTTTTATTCATCTAATTGTTTTTCTTGTATAATTTATAGAACCCGTAAATGTGTTTTTACGTGATAATTTCATCCTAGAACGTCGAAACGTCGTCATTCAAAAAGTTGAACGTTTTTAGACATTTCTGAAAATGATTTTAAGCAATATTTTCTCGCAGTTACTTATAGTAAAGTGTTAAGAAAATGGCTCCTTTTTAATTCTTTAAATAAGAGGAAAAAAATTAACTTAGGAATGTGACGAAAGTGAAGTGGAAAGTGCTCTATGACAACCCAATTTTACGAAACGAAATAAACTGAGAACTCGTAGGAAAACATTTATATGTACTCTCAACAACGATAACTTCACAAGACACAGCATTTGTTCAGCTAATTCTTCTTTATTTGCACACACACACTTCTTTTGCTATGACAACCAGAAATCAAAATGAACGGGTACTAACTTAAATATACGCCGTATCATCTGGTTACATTTACTTTATTTTGTTTGTCTATTTCTTCAAAGTTTCTAGAACTTTTCATTTAACCTTTCCGTAACAGCGTTAGTGAATCTAACACACACGAAAAAAATGTGGGAAAGTCATTGAGCTGCTGCTTCAGTTACGACTGTGGGAGAGCCACCTCTTCTATGTAGATCTTGGAGACTGAGTTCCAGCCTGTATACGCGTCGCCAGTTTTGATACCACCAGCGCACTTACCGACCCAGAATCCCACGCGGACCGTGCCCTTACGGAGCTTCTCGCAGATTCCTTCGATGTGACGTGGGCGATGTGGATTCTTTTTCCAGCTAGTGCCATGTCTCAAATAAAATACACCATCAATGGCTGCCGGAGCCGAGCATTCTGCACCATTGAAGGTAAAGTACCACCTATGGCAACAGTCGTGGCAGTTACCGACACGGAAATCGCCATTCCAGAAGACACGCAAGGCTGTATTGTCAGATGTTTTCTTGAAAATACATTCCTATGGAAAGATTAAAATAACGCTTAAATTGAAAATTGTTATAATGGCCTAAACGCCTCGTCAAGCTTTGTACCGTTTATCTTATTCAGTCTCTTTTCTTTTTTTTTTATCTACCAATGCTGTAAAAAGCATATAGCTTTCAATCTATGGTTATATGTCGGTCCTTAAAACTTTTAAAACAAATAATAAGTATCAATATTTATTACAACTTAATTACTACCTAAAATAGTTTTAAAAGAAATTTTGGATGCGAGTAATAACAACATTTAAGAAAATGTAAGATTAGGGATGACTTAAAAAGTGTTGGGTTTAATCTTAGGTTATTGAATGGGTCGTACGTTTAATGTCAAGACTTTACTTTCCCCAGTATTCATCATATTTATCCGTGTTTATTTGTAGGATTATACGAAATCCTGTCGGGATAATTCACATCCATATCCGAAGATAAAAAGCACAACATTCAGTGGCATAAATGTCCATAAATCTATTAAGAGTTAAGTGTTTACCTTGATCAAACCAGTGTCTCTTTCATCGTTTATACTCTTAAATACACACTGTTTCCAGTTACTTCGCAAGGAATTTGCAGAACCAGGAGTTCCCTGTCGACCTTGGATGCCACGAGCACCTGGTTCACCTTTGCTTCCTGCTTGACCCGCCGGTCCCGAGGGTCCTGTGTCTCCTTTGTTTCCTGTAAGACCCTTTGTTCCTTTAGGTCCTCGTTTACCTGATGGTCGTGCAGGTCCAGGGCGTCCAGGGATGCCAGGTTCACCTTTGCTTCCTGGTAAACCCGTCGAACCCGAGGGTCCTGTATCTCCTTTAGGTCCCTGCTTTCCACGAGATCCTTTATCACCTGTGTTTCCTCTTGGGCCCGTGGGTCCTTCAGGTCCACGATTGCCGGGTGATCCCGCGGGTCCAGGGTTTCCTGGGATCCCCGGAATTCCTGGTGCGGAGCAGCAAGCACTATGACCACATGACCCAAATGATGTCTGTTGGGTACACTATTATTAATGAGCATAAACGCATTAGTTGATCAATACATCAGCAGACTAACTGCTTTGTGTAACGGAAAAAAGGAAGGCCTGATAATATTTGTTGATTTTTTTTCGTGCTATCGCTGTCACTGATTATATCGTAACACGACGTGTTGGAGACTGTTAGTAGGATTAGAAATAATAATGGGATTGTTGCCTTCTGAGAGAAGACATTTTATATGTCCTCAGGTGAGGGCGACACAAAAGGAACCGAGGAAGACCAAGGACGAGATGGAGGACGACTTAGATCGTTTCCTAAGACACTGGCACCGTGTCAAGCAAAACGTGGTTCACTGGAGGTCAATGGGGAAGGACTACGTCCTATGACGGACATTCAACGTTAACGGCTGAAACTGAAACTGAGGGGGAAATTCACTTTAATAATACACAAAAGTTTCTTGAGCTTTACAGCTTGCTTCACAAAACTTCATGGCCTTCTCCTCCGTTAAATTCCGCATAAGATTTTGTTGTTATAGCTAATTCTCTGACTGGCAAGTACGTGTGATGACGTGGTTCCGAGAGCCACCAATAGAGGAATTCATTTGTGTGGCTAGTTATTGGATCCGCTACTGACCAAACATCCTCAGATGTAAGCCCTCCTAAAACCCCTTACAAAGATGTATAATTCCAGGGCTTATAAGCGGTAGTTTACGGTAATCAGGAAACGTGTAGATTTGATGGTTTGGTCATAGCTTGGACCAGAAGTTCGATCAGAAAAAGAAATTCAAAAATTTTGTATCGATTTGTAATATACCTCTTTCCTTGGTGTTTTGTTGCTGCTACTGTTGCTCTTCGTGGAACAGAAAGTAATCAACAGTGCATAAATCGCGATGCACAGTGGTACTTTCATACTGTTCATTTTGGTTTCGTTTTATCTTGGGACCTGGAAAAAGGGATAGCATGTTAAAGTGTAAGCCACTGAGTAACACAATATCATTGATAATGCAACGTATTGGTTTCTTTACACAGAAATATACAAAGTTTTATTAATTCAAATATCAAAAATAAATTAAACAAATATTTCAATTCATTATAATTCTTTACTTACTAATAAAATATTAACATTAAAATTGATATTCGTATTCTGGCTTGTATTGAATGATTTTCATTTTAAAAATATGAAAAAGCTTGGCATTCTGAATAGTCCATCGGCCTCGTGAGCGCTCGCCGGCGATTTTCTGCAAGCTTGAGCTTTAAGAAGTTTTGCCCAGCAAATATCGGCGCTTCTGGCCTTTCTGTTCGCTCCTTACTGGTGAACCTACTTGCGTCATTTTAGCTGAGTTTTTCTGCTTCTTTGTGACAAACGTATTTAACTGTAATGATCTTAACTGTATTTTATCACGTATTGCAAACTTACTATGACTCAAGCACTAGCGTTGTCTGCAATGTATCTGGTACTATTTGGAATGGAATGGGAAATACAGAAATAAAATAATTAAAAGGAAATAAATGAGTTTCTCAGTCTTTTCCCAAGGTTAATAAAAACTGATCGAGAAATCATGCTTTGGAAAAAAATCAGAAACAAAACGAATTTAGTACTAACCTTTCAGTTTTAGTGTTGCTGCAGTCTGATTCTAGGAGCTGCTGAGAGTAAAATGAATATTTCTGCTCCACCAAAGAGCTATTTATCCGTACTGAATCAACATTACACTTTCATGTTACAAACACGTTTGAAAAGAGGTTACGTGTGCAGTAAATACGGATGTCGAGGATTTTTACATCGACCAATAACATGGTTGCTTATGAGAAGACATTTGTTTTTGCCCAGTATCAAGAAATGGCTTGTTCGAGGCTAATAAATGACATGATGCAATAACAAGTTGAACTTTCTGATGATTGGTTAGAACGTGGACATGTTTCAGTTGACCAATGAATTGTCAGCTGTTTCCTTTGTTGTATTTCATGTATTTGTTCAAAGACAGAAGGCGAGAAATGTTCACAGAGGTAAACCTCGTATGTATGGCATTTGGGAGAGTTTCCATGCCATTTTAGTGGCTCTTATTACTCAATCTCTTTTGCTTTCTTACTTTTCTCTACGCTGCTTTTTTACACTGAAAAAATACAATAGCCCCATATCAAAGAGGTCACACCATAGCAGGTCCACTCAGTATACACACCCAATTTACAAGTGAGAACTAAGCTTTCTTCATGTTCCCAAAACTGACTCTGAAATTTTATGCGGGAAAAGGAGACTCTTAATAAAGGACTGGTTATTTTTCTCTCCAATTTTTCTTGGTATTTCGAGGCATGATATCTAAGAGATATAAAGTAATCCTAAAACTAAAATTTTGAATGGGTGTAGCTAACCATGCCGTTTTCGACCGGAAAAGGGCAATGTTTTAAGCTTCCAACTGAAAAGCTTAAAAACTTCTGAATTTCTGAGTTAACACAGGGTTTTTGGAGAGCGAGTCAGAGTAAAGATTTCGAGACATGTAAGCAACATTTAACAACGAGACTTAAGCGGTGACGGGCTCATAGTCTTACCACTTACTCATTCCTTCACTTTAAACACATTGACTCAACTTTACTTACCTGAGAAAGCGGCTTGTTTGATGTATTTCTGTGATTTCGAAATCCTGCGTTCATTTCTCCTTGAACTAGTTTAAGAGACGGTCAATTTTCCACCTTATTGACTTCATCAACGCTGTTCGGATATAACAAGCCCCACCGCCTTAGGACCTTAGGAAACAACAACGGTGACCAACGGAAACGTCTAGAATACGATACTAAGAAGAGGCCATAGTAACCCTTTCATTAATTGTGGCGAGTATGCGTAGCATATTACCCTCTTCCTTCTGAGCGTTTTTTTTTTACTCTAGAGTGTAAATATTTTCAAACTTAGACCCGCTACACAACAAAAATGCTAAGAAATTGTGTCTTTTCAATTACAACTTTCCTCTTTCGTTCAGAAACAAAACGATTAAAATGACTAGTAAAACTGTCGCTGCTTTTACACGGTATGGTACGAACATCGCAGTATTTTTTAAAAAATATGCATCTTTGTCGCACGTTCTCAATAAAAACAAAAATCAAATATTATCAATGATTTGTCCTGGACTTTCTTAAAATCGCAAAAATTAATTCCCAGCGGCAAAAAAAAAAACAATCTGTCCTAATCGCAAATAGTAGTTCCTGCAAAATGCAAAAAAATCTCCAATCAGCAAAAATCAACTTCTGCAAAAATTTCGTGTCACACGGTTTACATTATCAAGAAAAATATTTACTCAATACTTACGTTAGTGATGAAGGCAGAGATAAAACTCTATTGAGAAGAGGCTTGAAAATTGTAACGGTATAAATCAAAAACAAAACTGCACGCTTTTACCTTTTTCTGTAATCCTACTCTTGTCGTTGAGATCTTTTAACCACCGATACATTTTCTTTTTTGGCACAATAAGGTTTTCGAGAGAACACGTTTTTAAATCGTCATTAACACTCAGAAACTATGCAGGTGCGGATCCACTCCGGTTTCCCCACCATTTTACGGAAATCGGTCAATTTCTTCATACAGATAAATATATTTTTAATAATAATAATAATAAAACTTTCCAAGTTGAAATCTAAAGATTACTCAGGAAAAAGGACTTTAGGGAGTTAAAATCCAACCAATTTTAAGCATGGCCAGTACTTATCCTAGATCCACGCCTGCTACGCTTTGCCCTGTCTCAATAATGACTGTACAAGCCCAGTTGAGTGAGGCGTAATTAGTCGAAGGCAAAATTATAAGAAACCTTAAATGAACGATGTTAGGATGTGATGTAACAACGACAGCAAAAATTGTCCCACGTACAAATCAAGTTCCCACCCACCGCTTCCGCAACTTTTGATGAGCAAGGACTCAGTGTCTCGTGGCCGTCGCGTCGTTGGATCTTAAAAGTCCATAACTTATAACTGAAAAAAATTCCGGACACATAAGCTCTTCATTTCGCTCTAAACCATCGCAAAAACGCGTTTATGATTTGATGACGTCGAAAGCCGGTTTACTGAAAAAAAAAAAAAAAAAAAGCACGTTTTGCTATAATTCGCCCACAGAAACGTTCCATAGCAAAAATGGCTTTTGGTCTTGTAGCAAAATTCGTTTCCAAGTTGTAATATTTTGGATAAGTGATTAAGATTTTCATAAAAAAAACTTCAATGAGCTACTCACCTTTTAAGTATTTTACCCAGCACAGGCACTGTGTGTTGGCAGGAGACAAGCAACAAGCTAAAATCGAAAAGTAAGAAGACATTTAAGATATGAGCTTAAATTAAAGAGAATGAGCAAAGAATCCTAAATCATTACGAACCTAAATCCTCGGTCTCGTCGATCCTTGTTTGCGTTAACTTTTGCTGATGACAAACTCCAAATGTTAATTATAGCTCTGATGGCGTTCTCGCCGTAACAAGTTTCACTACTCCATGGTTGATCAATCAGTTCAACTCAGAAAGATCCGTCTTTTCTGTCGTCGATCATTGCTCCATTGTTTATCATGAATAATAAAAGATTACTCAATTTTAGGAATTAAAAAAAATCTTGACTGTCTGAGAAAAAGCTAGGTTACTCTAGCTACAGTCACATAAAACCTAATCAGGCAAACTGCTAATTTGTGGCGTGAGGATCAAGAATTTGACTGGCTCAAAACCAGAGCTGTCCGAAGTTAGGATTTCTACAGATGGCCCCAGATGTCTAAACTGAAGAAACAATGACCGGTCTGTCGATGGCGAAAATTACTTTTAACAGCAGTTTTTTTCTGTGTTATATGCCCTTTTAATAGGCTAACTCCCATAGCGAGGCTAAATGATGTGTCCCGCTTTACTAAAATTTACTTACTAAAATTAAATTCAACGTTTTTGCAGCGCGTTCAGCAAGAGTAGCAAATTGAGCGATGTCATTGATCAGTGTAAATTTGTTTTCAATTTGTTTTCTCACGGTTTCTAGTTCTATTACAGCATACTGATCAATTTTTGTTACGCAGCTATTTTATCTGAAAATTAGAGCGATATAGATTGTTCTTGATTGAACGGAAAGTAGCCTCAGTCTGTACATGTTAGAGCTCATTACACCCGATAACATTATCAGGTTTAAAATGCACTTAATAGATACCCGGTTGAAAAAGACATGCCTGCGTATCTTGTCTATCTTCCATCGTGTTAGCTTATAGGCTTATTTTCATTCCTTATAAACAACAGTTTGCGTGACTCTCTCCCTTCCAAAATGTGTTTTAATAATTTTTAATACTTGTTCTCGGATGAGAGCTCCGCTTTGAGGTTACCTAAACCTCTATGACACTTTGTTGTTCTTATAATTGTAAAAAACGTCTGCGAATGAATGATTTTCCAGTAATCGGACACTTAGTTATGCGCACAGGATTATGGGATCGCCAGGGGGCAAACATTGCAAGTCGCTACAAAGAAATGTATGGCGTGGAGCTGTTTCTCCGTTAGAAGCAGTGTCTTTGGACAGAGAATGTAACATTTTGCCATGATTTTATGAGAAGCGGAGGTGACCAATGTTGGTGCGAAGAAATTGTAAGTTTTTGTGGGATCAATGCGGTGAAATTTATTGATAAACACTGATTCTTGGGAAAGGTCGACTGTGAATTTACTGAATGGTCTCGAAATATATAGTACTAACTTAGGTATAAATGAGCGGGGAAAGCCTTTCCAGTTGTACTTACATGTGCTCATATTTACAACGAGTGTAATTACGCTCCGCTCGGCGGCGATCACAATGCTGTGCCGGTTTGTGACAACGATCAAAGGTAAGCTTATGTATTGTCGAATTTGATATGTATTAAATTTAAAAACAAAAACATCTTCCGCACATTAGTATATTGATTTCTTCTCGCCAAAAAAACACAGGCGAATTGTTTTGTCATGATCCAGAGCACCGATGAGTTCTAATGCCTTTTCCAATCATTTTGAGGGAAGATATAGAATCTCTGAATTTCGCACATCAACTTGGTATTTATTTTCAAACACACCGCCTTTGTATCGGAAATCTTACTCGTTCGTGTGATTTCTGCCTCATCTACTAATGGTTCAATACCATGTACTTTCCATGAAATATTTTGTAGATGTCGCTTTGTTTACACCAAAGTAAAGGAGGATTTTTTCTTTTTATGGCCACGTACATACCTACGATTGTTGTCTTGTCATAACCTGCAAAGCGCCGCACAGCGCTGATCGCGAGCGTACTTACACTCGTCGTAAATATCACCACACCTAATTATAACTTAAACGCTTAAATAAGCCATCCCCCCTACATGTATACCTAAATTTGCACTATATATTTCGAGACCTTTTCTTCGAATTCTTCATGTCTGTGTAAATTCAGTAAACATAAATTTCGGGTTGTTCCTCATATACCGAAAGTTGAAATCGTTAATCATTCATATATCGAGAGTTGAAATAATTAATCATTCATACACCGAATAATACAGCGGGCACAGAGGAACAGTGGGCACAGAGGAACAGTAGGCACAGAGGAACGGTAGGCACAGAGGAACAGAGGGCTCAGAGGAACGGTAGGCACAGAGGAACAGTAGGCACAGAGGAACGGTAGGCACAGAGGAACGGTGGGCACACAGGAACGGTGGGCACACAAGAACAGTAGGCACACAGGAACAGTGGGCACAGAGGAACAGAGGGCACAGAGGAACAGTAGGCTGTGTTCCTCTGTGCCTACTGTTCCTCTGCGCTCACTGTTCCTCTGTGCCCTGTGTTCCTCTGTGCCTTACGTTCCTCTGTGCCCACTGTTCCTCTGTCCCCACTATTCCTCTGTTCCCCATAATCACAAGTTGATCTATTAGAATTGCTGTATGTAATGATTAACGAGTTCAACTTTCGGTACGCAAGGAGTGTTTATCGATAGAATTTATCGCATTAATCGCACAGAAACTTGAAATTTCAACGCACCAACATTAGTCACCTCCGTTTCTCATAAAATCACGGCAAAATGCGGCATTCTATGTCCAAAGACACTACTTTTCACGGAGAAACAACTCCACGCCATACATTTCTTTGTAGCGAGTCGCAATGTTTGCCCCCTGGCGATCCCAGAATCCTGTGCGCAAAACATGGGTATCCGATTACTGGAAAATCATTCATTGTAGCCTATTCTACTTCATTGCAATTCCGATGGTGAATTCTGGGAACACTTCTTGTCACAGCAGTGGTCTCTTCAGTTTCATTGCAATAGTACAGGCAATCTATTGTTAGTAACAAAAATATACCGGCAAATAGCTAATGTTAGATTGACCTAGTTGTAATAATGAACATAAATGGTCTTGTTCCTTAAAAGCGAGTATTTTGATTCGTGAAGGTTCCTTCTATATTTACAGCGGATTTACACTTTCGTAAGAATCACTAAAACAGTCGTAACAAAAGTAAAGGCCTACGAGCCCCAACCACTGAGCTGACACCACCGTCGAAGATATTATGATTTGAAAGTCAGTGATTGACTTGGTTTTGGCAGGGAGCACCCGAGAGAAAAAAATCAGATGATGAAAGGAAATTTTGTCAGAACATATCATATTAAAGGATAACTTACCGATGCCGGTACTTTTGCTGTCACACGCGCGGCAAAATTCATCATCATCATGATCAAGTCGAGTCGATCTCGATCGGTCTAGTGCAAAATTAAAAAAGACATGAAAAGCAAGATAGTTGGGTGAAACTACTAAAAACATTTATGAGGGAATTCTCCACCCTACTCGTCACCTCCTCAATCACTGCTTTTTGTTTCTTTATTAAACTAAGAGAATTTATAATGACATCTCGGCATTGAGTACTGAACGAAAAGACATGATGGGTTTTACTCAGGCAGTTTAATCGACCTCAGTAATCGATCGTTCACGGTAAGAATTGACTAGAAGTTGAAATTATATTGCTTGTAAAATAATCCAAGGCCGGACAAACGTTCTACCTGTACTACTATTTTTAATTGCCACTGATTAACATTAGTTGTGATCTTCGACTAATGATTACTGGTCCTTACGCCCTGGTGGTGATAAACGGCGTAGGTATTCAAATATTATTACACTTGAGATTCCTTTCCTTTATCCGTTTAGGTGTCATTTTTTAATCAGCAGCCTCTCTTTTGGGATATCGCCGAATCGGCTCAAACTGGACAAAAATGACTGAAAAAAATAATCCCATATTTGTACCACGGCTGGAGGAAATATAACGCTTTTTATGCGATTTTTAATACAACCGAGTGGCGGCATCATTTGACTGCTCGCAGTGGGTGGTACATCTCACTGATTTAATTCGCAAACAAGAAACATCACTTATTCAGAACTATGTATAATAATACGTTATAGAGTGACCACGTGAAATAGGTAGTAGAATACTACGCACTATTACTACTTCTACTGTCTTCTTTTGTTTATTTGTGGCTATTTGGCACTAGTTGCTATTAACTCTTTCACGAGTCAAGTAAAATCGCTCTGGGAAAATGAAGGATTTTTTTTTTCCCGCTTTCATGCTGATGTGCTCTTAAAATAAACTGCTTTCTCACCTTGACGTTTAGAAAAGCTCAAGTTTATCGTTCCATAGCTTACCAAAGCAAATGAAGATGCCCCATTGAAGCTATCATGATTTTAGCCAGCGGTTCATTTTCTCTAAATCTAAACTGTTCCATTTATGCGTCTTGACTACAGCTCGAAAATAACGCACAAATCCATTTAATTTTTATTCATGATGTTCTCGTTTGATCAAGTCTTGTAAACAATGTGCATTATGAATTAGACTAAAGGCAATTTAATTATTCTAACATTTAAGTATGCGTTCGATTTCGGGCCTTATCAATAAGTCAGCAAGTTAGAAGAAAATTATCACGATAGCGGAGGCACTTGGGAGGCAAAAAGTTACACAGTCAGCAACTTTAATCGATTAAACGTTTCTGGTTTCAGTGAGTCCATTTCATTTATTCTTGGTTAATTGAATCATTTCTAAACAAATTTCGCAAGCAATTAAGTTAGCTTGAAATTCATGTTTTAATGTTCTAGACTAGGCCACAAAGTTCATCAGAGCGTGATCAGTCCTTGTCAATCAACCATCTAACAGTGCACGCGACTGTCTCGATAACGATGTCGTTTAGAACGCTCCTGTCAGACCAGGGGCGAAGACAAAAAGGCAACGGGAGGGGGAGAAGGAAAGAAGGTGAAAAAGTCCTGAACCCCAGACCCCAGATTTTCACTTACAACTGCGAGTTATCAGAAGCATATAACCCTGGTTGGTAACCGGTCAAGTCGCCCGAAAGTCATCTTGTCTGAAACCAGTCATGTCGCCCGAAATGTTTAGTCAAGTCACCCAAAATTTTAATAAAGAGTGTATGTAATATATCTCGTTCTTTAAGCGATAATGAGACAAAACAAGCGGGATAATTGTGTAATTAAGTCTTGTTCTTCAAGCATTGATGCTATGATGAGACGAAAACAGCGAGATGGATGTGTATTATATAGAGGATATTACGCGGTGGCGCGAAGATATGAACTTTATTTTCGAGTGGCAAAACAATATTTTACGAACGAGCGCAGCGAGTGAGTAAAATATTGTTTTTGCCACGAGAAAATAAAATTCATATCTTCAAGCCGCCGTGTAATGTTCTTTTTATTATATAGACAAAATGACATCGATAAAATAATAGAGGGAAATTACCAAAATTACGTCATCGATAAACTCCCGTGTGAGATTATGGAAAATAAACCACTCGGGTCCCGGATGTAGTTTTTATGAATTTTACGAGTGGTGTCAGAGGTATATTTTCCAGTAAAACACTCGTGTCTATGTAATAAATACCGTTATTTATCTGTTTATGCGACGAAGAGACGAAACAAGCGAGATGACTGTGTAACATATCTCGTTCTTTTAGCCTTGATGAAACGAAACAAGCATGTCAAATCAGTAATATATTTTGTTCTTAAAGATTTGATGAAATGAAACAAGCGCGATTAAGATGTTAGGATGCTGCTGCGAGAATGATAAAATTTCGGGCGACATAACTCTGGCTTCGGGCGACTTGACCGTTACATGCTTCTGGTCTCATAAAATTACGTTTTACAGTACTATCTATGTGAGTTATGTGCTAGTCAGCAACAGGCCAAAAAGAGAAATAGTTAACGTTCGAAGGAAAGTCTCGTACTCGTACTAAAGGTAGCCAATAAAAAACCCGATATGAAAAAACATGATTGAACCCGACGAGCGTGCAAAGATCAGGAAGAACAAAATTCAGAGAATGTTGAACCGTCCGTTGTGGTTACAAATTTAGGGTTCTTTACTGAAAAAAACAAACAAACAAACAAACAAACAAACCAACAAACGATAGTCAGCTCCTCTCTGCTTGCTAATCGGAGCGCTTACTGGATTGGCATGGTAAATTATTATAATCAAAAATCAAATATCAACAACCCAGAATTTTTCCATGACTTTCAACTGTAATCGCGATCCGAATGAAATAGCCAGTGACCCTCTGCAAGAAGCAAGAGCTGTCACAGGGGGGTGAATGTTCAGCGACGCACAAGACACTATTTGCCTCTGCTTCGCTTGCTAAAAGCTAAAATTAATTAGTTAATTATGTAAGTTAGAAAACGAGGAGTTTTCTCACAGTTTTTAATTTCCGGTTTTTCAAAGTTTATTTATTTTTTTACAATTTATATACATCAACGATTAAATTGACAAAAATATAGTACAGTAGGGGTTAATAATCAAATTTCCACTCTAGCCATAAAATACAATTCTGCAATGGCTACGATGAAGGCCAGCACAATTCCTATGATCACTCTCTGAAAAAGAAATAAAACAGATGATTGCTTTGTCTTTACAATTTGAGAATTGGCTCTTCATGGCCAGAATCTTGCTCCTATACACAATCCAATATTATTAATGAAGCCCGTAACTATGAGTCCATTTAAAAAAAAGTGTCCCAAAATGACGGTTCCCTAAAACGTGGTTTGCTTTAAAAAAGCCTTCATGAAGTATTCAGTGCAACATCTGCTTTTATATCACCAACATCTACGTCAAGAAACTGGGGGTGCTTATCAAATTTTGTTCTAAAGAGATGTTGAAAATTCCGCTCGAAAGGTTAATGGTAAGGTCATTTTTTGGAAATTCCAACCAAAAATTGAGGACAACAATTTTCAGAAGTCCTTTCATTCTGGTTGGTTAAACCAAGTGGAATACTACACACCGATTGCCAATTTTTTCGGTTCCAGACTTCAGCCGCACAAATTTGCCCGTTTTTGGATTCAAATGATAACAGATGTAGCAGTTCTACGGTAGACTGGTAAATCGCACATGATTATGATTTGGACTCCCCCTGAACCGGATTTTTTTGTGAAATTGTTATTTGGATTACTTTATGCTTCCATTGCTTCCCTTTATGATAAGCTTAAAAGTCCTAAAAGCCATTTTCTTAGCAGGCAAAAATAAAACAACAACAACAACAGCAGCAAACTTCTACCATGACCAGCCTACTTTTAAGTTTTGATTAATGCAGTGGTGTCGTTTTATGTGACTGCCCAGAATACCATAAATTACACTGGCTGGATTTAAGATGCTTGATTGAACCTGATTGTTACTCATAACCCATTTATTTATTACATACCATAGCAATGGAGGGAAAGGCATATTGAGATGCAATAAAACCAAATGCAAATGATGCCATTATTGACAAAAGAAAGTTGATAATAGAGGCCAACTGCTTGCTGACAGAGCGAACTAAAAGGTAAACATTGACACAAGAAAATCAATTCTGTTCCTTTAACGTATCCTAACCTTGACTGACATGCCTGGTCAACCTTACAGCCTAAGTAACTGCAAGTTTTCGGTTTTCAGGATGCATATTTCTTATTTTAATCCTGAGGGTGGTACTCCCAATACATGTAGAGAGGCTCCGCCCAAGGAGGGTTCCATTTTCAGACTTCAGGCAGATAAAAGGGTAGGAATTTCACTAGTTGAAAAATATGAAGGGGAGAGAAATCGGTCTTTTCGGTCTGTAAGAGGAACTAAAAGGGCTAACTGATGTTTTTTTGTGGCTGAGAAAAAGTCAAGAGGACATCCTTGTTTGGCCATTTTTTGATTATTTAAAAGATGGTGCATTTACAGCAGTTAACAGGGATGCAGCATTCTTAAATAGGTACATGAAAAGCGTACCTTTTGCCAGAGGAAGGTATACGATTTAGGGGTACCTTTTCTGTTAACAATGGTATATAAAAGTGTAAGGGGTTGGGCCTCGGAGCAGAGCTTCTTCCGTGTAATACTTTGTTGTGTATCCCCCCAGGATTTCAACTTTCCATTTTGCAAAGTAAAGAATAACTTCAAATTCACTTAGACAAAGTGACTTGGTTAATAACATAGAACAGTTCTTAAGTCTGACTTAGCACTGAGATTTAAGTACACGTAAAACTACCAATGAGAAATACACAGTATGGAGGCCCTCTTGAGGTAAAATTCTGACAAGCCACATGGCCTTGAAATAGCAAAATAACACTGTCAGAAGAATTGGCAACAATCAACACGAAAGATGAGTGGGAAACTGAGACAGTCACAAGGAAAATCCCAAATACAATTATAGTGAAATATCAAAAACGACATGGCCTTCTCTTCAATACATGAAATGTCCACCATTAAAATTCAGAATAGAGACATACATACCCCTGCAGCCCCCACCCCCCCCCCTCCCTCAAAAAGCCTAAGTACCTGCTTACAAATACCCTAGAGTTTTGGCTATAAGTGCTATTTTGTGCCGAGACACTTTCAGTTTCATCAGAAAAATACAAATAATACACTACAATCAGTGACACCCACCTTCCTGTCCCAGTTGCCTTCCATCGCTTTGGTGCCACTGTAAATAAAACAGCAAAATAACATATTTTTATTTTTATTAAAATGACAACAAGGAGTCCTTTTTGTGTTTATACTACTACATGAGAAATTTCTGCAATTTGATTGGCTTAGAGCAGTGGTCTTTCAGCTTAATTTGAAATACCCACATGTGAAAATTACAAAACTTTTGTGGGTAGTAGTATAAACAAATAATAGCATGATTTGTATGTGATATTTGGCATAAATACCACTCATGATATTTCAAAATTGTCTCAAATTTCACTCGCCTAACAGCTCGTGAAATTGTGTGTAACGATTTCGAAATATCACTCATGGTATTTATGCCAAATACCCGGGGCACTTTAGGAATTTCTGGGTGGGGATGTGCTGCTAGGACCCTGGAACCCTTAACCTATACCAGAGCTAGTTCAGCTGAATTTTGCTACCCTATACTAGAGTAAACTCCCCAAATCCCCCTATGCTAGAGTAGCTGTTTACCTAGTCTAGATAAAATCTTCAACCAACTGATCAGTTTCCTGAAAAATGATACCCTATTCTAGACCCAAACGCTCTGATTTATATACCCTATCCTACAGTAAACTGCTTGAAAACCATACCCTTCACAGCGGCACATACCTATATAGCCCATATATGGCAGTGCCCCCCCCGGGGCCAAATATCACTACAAATCATGCTATTACCTATACTAATGGTTTTCAACTCTACATGTTTTGTTGGCATGATCAGGGCTCAAGAGTAGTAGATTAAAACAACCAGTGGGCATCTAGATGTGTTTATATGTGTTTTTTTTCCATAAGAGAAATGTTTTTTTAGTTGTAATTGCCATACAAGAAAAACGACCTGGTCTGGGCAGGGTGGTTACAGTGCTGTAGGTGGTGCACCAATCACCTGCACCCTCCCATCTGACCAAATCTCAGAAACCTTAAGGTGGCTTGATAGGTTGTTTTTTTTTTAGCATAAACTATGTTACAATTAACAAAGATTTGGAAAAATTACCACTGCTGCTGTATTAGATAAAGTTGAAAATTTGAAAGTTTCATTTTCACGTGAACAGTAGTAAATAACAATATATGCAGAAATGTTCGCTATTGTTGTCCACAAAAATATAGAACTTGGAGACCATACCCTGAATAATGAGAAGCTCTCACTTGTAAACACAAAATTTCTGATAAACAAGAAAATGACGGTTAACCTTGAGAATCTCAATCTATTGAGCGGTTTAAAAATGATTTGTTTATTTGTTAAAGTAGACCAAAATGTTTACAAAACCGCCAACAAGAGCGCCTTGATATACACTAACCAAATCCAGCTTCTTTCTAGCAATTGGCCAAAGGCTGAGAGCTATCTCCATGATCTTTCACGTGGTTTTAAAAAGAATAAAACAAAGTTCTATGAGGTGAAATAATTGCATTTCAAAAACACTTCGTTTCCTGCAGACAACGACCGAACATCAATATTATCCAGTTTTTAACACATTACTAACCATAAAAACTTCATCCCAAAATATCTCAATAATGCTCTTACAGATTTCGCTTGAACTCCACGAACATCGAGATGCCTATTGGAAGAAGAAGTTCCCGTGAACAATTTGGAAGATTAGTTCCCTGTGTTGAGAAATACAGCTGCCAGTAAAATAGGCAATGGCATCACTTCATTGCTATGACAACTCCAATGTCATTGTAACCCTGATCATGACAAATTTTCATCTTTATCTAAAACACTGCACAGCTATGGTGGTAATTTTTCCAAATCTTTATTAATGGCAATGTAGTTTATGCTCAAATTTGGGAGGTATTGACCCTGAAAAACAATCGAGCCACCTTAAGTAATAAAAACCTCTTAGAACCACTCGACTGTCCAATACCTTGCCTACACCTGCTCATGTAGGTAAGCAGAGCATGATGCCATTTGAAGGCAGAGAATAACAACAGTTCAGCTTACAAGAGCAGGTAGACTCAAGAGGAAATGGAGAATGATGGCAGACATAGAGAAGGGACAGAGATAGATGGAATAACTGGGGAGAGCTACCCACCCCAGCAATCAGTTCAACAGCTTTGGATAGGTCTGGCTGGGAAGTATGGATTAGCCTTATGTGTCTTGTTGTATGAAAAGGATACATGTAGGTGAAGGTAAAAGCAAAGAGTTGAAGTTCAGTTCTCACTTTACAACAAATACACTGGTAGCTACCTGATACAAATTGAAAACAAAAAAGACTGAAACACAGCATTTTCACCTTTCTATCAACATTTGAAACCATCCTGTCATACTCTGCCCTTTGTTGCTCTGCTTTTAGCTTTTTCAGACGAGTTATAAGTTCTGGACTCTAATACAAAGTAAAAATCATAATTATGCAATGATAAAAGAAAATAAATCAGGGAAAAGTCAGTGGCATATATTACTGTTAATAACAAAAGGCTTATTACAAAATATAAAAATTCACACTTGGATCCAAAGTTGAGGGGTATGAAACAAAAGAAATTGCATTAAGATTAAGGGATGACTAAAAAATAATCCAGATTATGTATTTGTATGCATTTTGTCTTATATTTCATAAGATTTCTTATGGATTATTGTGATTGGATGCAATTTGACCTAAACTGAGCAAAATTGCACCATCGTACATGTATAAAATCACAGGACCTGAAAAACTAAATAAAACAGTTTCTAAAAAAGCACTTTTGGATATTTTGATCCGATGATGGTAACACTTTTTGTCTTATTTACTTAATATATAGAATGTACTCTGACTGATTGAAGAATGTGACCGGTGTTTTAGACTTGTCATACTGTTTTGAGGACAAGGCTAAGCAATTTAACAAAATAAAACTTTAGGTTGTTAGAGGAAATGCAAGTCATAAATATCAGTCCTCACATACAGCATGAGGATGCAGCGTGGCTGAGTGGTTAGAGCCTTGGACTTTTAATTCAGAGGCCCCTACTTCAAGTCCTGCTCTGACTGCTAGCTGGATTTGTTCACGGGAGTCCCGAGATCAAATCCTCGGCCATGCTTGTAACTAGCAGCTGGTTTGCCTCCGGCCAGTTGGGATTCTTAACTCTGTTATGTTTTATTTAAATTATTTGTTTCATACATTTGCTCAGCCCCACTAGCATAAGTGCTTTAAATATGGCAGAGGATAAATAAAAGAATTATTAATTTATTTATTTATTTTATAGCTGCCTCTCAATACTCCCCATCACTTGGGACATTTCACAAGAGAGGGGTTTGCATTTTGGCCTTTCCATACTACTGACATAAATCAATCTTGTAGCCAAGAGGTTCCAGATGTAAATTTGTTTTATTTTCTGTTCCTTCTTGTTGGTGATCATAAATAATTTCGAGCTCTGCTACATGTATGAAATGTGGTACCAGAAAAATTGAGCATATTTCCTGTTCTCACTGTAAACTTCTCTGGACTGATCTCAATACATTTCCTTGCCACAAAGATTTAGTTGAGAGGATATGTGTTAAGATCAATGCACTTTCTATTTGGTGATCATTTCATTAATTTGCATAATCTTTTCTCTCAATTACATATTGTTTGGCGAAAATTGATGCTGGGTATGGCGTAACTTCACAGTATAATAACTAGATAAATCTTTTAAACATACCTTTTCTGGTAACTTTAAAGGTTCAACATAAACTTCACTTCCTGCCAGCAGCTCATGCAAGTATAGTTTTGAATCTTGATCTAGAAAGATAGTTGGATAAATTTAAAGAGAAGTCCAGGAACGTTCTAGCTAACGTCAAGGCAGCATTGGGCATGTGGTTTTTCTACATTGGGTTTTGAAGGCATACTTTATACTGTACGCTATGTGTGAAAACGGGTAAATTTGCTAAGAGCCCTGGGGAGATTTGCTTTATTATCATCTGAGTCCTTCGCTAGCTTGGGATGAGTGATAAGAGACATAAAAGTCATTTGACCCCTCAGTTCTTTCGCTTACCATTTTTAAAAGAACAAGAAAAGAAAAGAAAAAAAAAAACGGCTACAAGATTGCGCCTTGCAGAAACATGCCATCCTCAAGGGCACTAGGGGCTTAGGAGGAGTAAAAGCTGACTTTTGCAGTAGATCGTACCGTAGAGAGTACAAAAATATAAACAAAACGTCTGCGATAAAAATAACTCCTGAATTGTACATTTTAATCAATCGATTCCTGGACAGAGGCTCAAAAAACTTTGTTTATGACGTACATGAGGCCTACCGGTATTCTCTCGAAGACATTCCCAAAGTTGTTTGACTAACTTGAATGGAATGGCCACTTTTTCCTTCCTTTTATCTAGTTCTTTCGTTTCTTTACAGTATTTTGTATATTTCAATAATTGTTTCTCGAGATCCTGTGGAACTGAGTTGCGTCTAATAGCTTCTAAAATGGCATCTTGGATCTGCTTCGTTAGCAATACCTCGACCGCCATGTTTCATGTTTTTCCATAAATACGTCATGTATGGTGACATGACGAGGGACAAACGAGCGAAAAGCCGGAAGTGGCTGCCAGAGAATGTTGGAATAGAATGGAGTCTGTCTCTAGGCGATGTATGATCGACATTGCTTGTGATTTGTGTCGTGATTGGAAAAAGTTTGGTTACGTAAATGGCCTGTCAAAGGAAGTTGAGCAAATTGATCAAGATTACAAGAGAAATGTATTTGAACAGGCATACAGAATTCTACAAGCTTGGCAGCAAAAAAAGGGATCTAGGGCTAATTATCAAGAGCTGGGAGAATCGTTTAGATCAGGAACACTGCTACGCATTGATTTAGCTGAAAAATATTGTGAAGGAAGAAACCAAAGCCCCCCTAAAACAGGTAATCGGTAGATATTTTACCCGTAATAATAAACGTCTGTCTGACCTGATTAATGTCCTCTATATACACGAGGCTGAGCACGATATTTAGAATTATGAAGCCGAGTGGATATTAACAACCTCCTCAATATGCAAAATTCTCCATATCATGCCCAGCCTCGTTCACGATAAAATTGTTAATTATAATGATTATTCCAAACCTTGTTCCCCGTTAATTCTCTGAAATCCTGAATCACTTTCTTCAACTTTGTTTTAATTATACTTTGAAGATTATTTACATGGGACTTCAGCTTATAATTTAAGCTTGTTTTGGTTCTCTTTTGTTTGTTATTTCTTTACGATTTCTCATAGGTTTCCTCTACAGGTATGTCTGAACTGCCACTTCTCTTGTTCGGTAAACTCATGTAAAAAGTACTAGTGGCTTTTTTTATTATTATTTTAATTTGGTGATATCAAAACTACATCCTACACTTGGATGCAAGGCAGCTCGGACTCTAACCCCAAAACAAAGCCGCTTTCACCCAAACAAGGACTGTGGGTGCATTTAAGGTGGTGGGTAAGAAGAGATAATTGTCACTCCTGGGAAATGACTCTACACAATTTCATTTTTTGTTATTAGTGTTGCCCTTTTTCTAGGAACTGTAGCCTGTGAGGTATCAGAACTGCATGTTCATTTACTTTTGCTTTACAATCTTAGAGAAGGGTCATTTGAGGACTGGGAAGGTGTCAGACACTGTTATAGAGGCAATTTCAAATGAGCTTGGTAATAAGTGGATATGGGTTGGACGGTTGCTTGGGCTGGAGGACACTGAGCTTGATGATATTAGAGAAAATAATGGGAGTCTCTATGAATGCTCTCACACAATGCTGCTGTCCTGGACACAGAAAAGTACATCCCAGGCAACATACGAGTGGCTTGCTCAAGCATTAGGCCACACAGCAGTAGGCAAGGGTTTAATTGCGCAAAAGTACTGCATTCAAGATATCAGCGTGTCCCAACGAGGTATTACTATGAACATTTTGTGATTAAAATTATGAGTGACAAAGAAGATAAGCAATTAATAAGCACTTATAAGTGTAAATGAAAATTCAAGAGAAAGCAGATAGATGAAAATGGTAGACTTCAGAAGAAAAGAAAAGTTCTTGGGTCATCTTTAATAATCTTGTTAACCTATCCCTACAGAGCGCACAAGCGAGAGATGGGACATGTAGGGAGAGAACCCTGGGAACGAGCTTGAGGTCAACCTCACTAGTACATTTGTAAGAGAAGCCATGAAAGGGGTGGATTAAATGGGACCAACCATACAAACTAACTGCAAAACACAAGGACAAGTTCTCATAACAAATAATCAACTTGTCATTGTCTGGACATATTAATTATTAAATCAAGGTGTCCTTAATCATACACCTGCCTCTCTCCTTTGCCGAGGCCTTGTTGTGTCACAATTACGCAGTGGAGCAGATAGGTCATGACCGGATAGGTCATGCAGTACTGGTCATACTGATAAAAGAATGCCTAAGTTTGAGACAGGGCTTCTGATATTTCGCGCGGTCGCGGACCCGCGAAATTCAGGTATTTCCGCGAAATCCCGCGAAATTCCCAAAAAAACATGAAATACCGCGAAATCCGCCAGAAATATTTCCAAATACATGTCGGCAAAACATATTTAATACTTATCTTGGCTATTAGACCTCTTCTATTCACCCCAAATGTCCAAATTTATCTTGAAACTTCGTTACTGCAACGAGTAAACAACGTCTCAAAACTACCAGGCGTTCTTAGATGAAGGTTGCGAAAAACTGGGTACTAACCATAATGTTAACGGCTTTAGCATTCGCTCATTTCTCGAGTGAACTGTTGTTGAAAGAGCAAATGATTATCCCTGTTAAAAAGACGTTAAACAGTGCTGGTCATATCAACCCAAAATTGATCGATTTTAACGAAATTTGCCAAAAAGAATCCAGCGAAATCGGCTGGTTTTTACTGATTGTTTCTTGGAGAAGTTTTCCCCAAAAATTTCCCGTGAAATCGGCCGATTTTTCTAAGAATTTGCCCCGAAAATCCTTCGAAATTTGACTTTTTTCCGCTAAAATCCCGCGAAATCGGCCGATTTTTCTGCGAATTTTGACTTTTCTCCCGCGAAAATCCCGCGAAATCGGCCGATTTTTCAGCGAATTTTGACTTTTTTCCCGCGAAAATCCCGCGAAATCGGCCGATTTTTCCGCGAATTTGCCCCTGAAAATCCCGCGAAATTTTGCGTTTTTTTCCGCGAAATATCAGAAGCCCTGTTGAGAGCAGTCATTGGACCTTATAAACACGGCCTATTGCCTGAGAGAGTTGATCTAAATAACTTTAAGGTACTCTATACCATGCCTGTGGACTGCCATTAACTTTTACTAAGTAAGATTTTAATGGCAGCCAATCCTCCATATTGTGAGAAGCAAAAAGGTGCACAGATGGACAGATAAGGGATAGCAGTTACTTTAAGTTTCCTTTGCAAATTGTAATACCACTAATAGGTCAATAACCACAGTCCAGTTCACTGTTGGTATTTACAACTGTTAAGATTATACGTTCTGTGTTAATCTTAGGTTCATCTGTTCCTCTTGGGGGAGAAGACATTCAGTAACTTGATAAAAAAATGGAGACATTACAAGTTTGCAATCCAACAGAAGGAGCAAGTAAGCTTGATGATGATGGAGCTGGTAGTGTTGAAAAAATGAATGACAGGGCAATAGGTTTGTAAATGTTTTCTCCATAATTTGTCTTTTCCTTGTTATTTAGGTGTGTATTTGAGGAAGCAGGAGATTTTTGGCAGGTTGATAACATTTTGCACTATTCTGTCCCGTACATTTTAACGCATCAATAACTGTCACGAACAAGACCCCCATAGAGGGGGTTCATTGGGCTGCCAACTGCACAGTGCAGTAGTTTAATATTTAGGAAAGTAGAAATTAGGGGCATTTCCAAAACAAATCCCCTTCCCCCGAAACTCCCTTCCGCCCAATTATTGCATGACAGTATAATGTGACTAGCTTGATCTGTGTTCCTGACTGTGAAAAACAGCTGAAAAAAAGATATGTAAGATGACATTGTAAGCAAGCAAGCCCTCAAGTTAATGCATGTGAATGTTGTTCTGATTTTCTTTTCACGAAGCTCTTACAAGACTGGCATCAATTTTTTTCACTTGGATACCTACTGTAAATTTTGATTTAATTGCTGTTTTCGTGAAAGTAGCCTTACAAATTGTAAAAAGAGCTCAGCATTTTGTTTCACCCTGATGCATATACTTTCATGCCTTTCAAAATTGCACAAGTCTACCCGCCTCTAGAGATCCTTCTTCTACTTCTTATCATCATCATCATCATCATCACTGTGCTTTAATACCAGGTTCAAGAAACCCTCTACTGGTGCCAGATGATTGCATACAAAAGAAGTTTATTACCAATCTGCCTTATAAGGTAAGGGGAGCCTTGGTTGTCAAGCTAGACCCCCCACGCGAATTAGGAGGAGACTTCAAACATCTCGCTGACGAAATGGGATTTACCACGGATCAGATATTGTATTTCAAATCACTGAAGAATCCCACAGAAACTGTTCTAAATGGTTGCTCCTCACGCACTATAGAGGATCTTTGTAACAAGCTGGACGTGATTGGACGAGGAGATGCAAGGTTGGAGATTGATAAATGGATCGAGGCACAAGACTGTAAATGTGCATTATGTGCAGGTACAGTAAAAACCCACATTTTCCAATAACCTACATTTTCCAGGGTTAGCCTAAACAGGTTCTTACATAAATGGTGGTTAACATAAATTTAGGCTATCTAGGTTCTTAATAGGTTATTAATTTCTTGCAAAAAAAATTATGTTGTTGCTAACAAGATTTCAATGATCAGCACCCTTAAATTTGCATACCTAATGATTGCTTATATTTTAATATGACTATAATAGAATATATCTATTCTCACATGAATCTTAATTTCTTGAGTCAAAACAACTTTATATACATGATTGTGCAGTAAAACACAATATTATAAACATTTTCTCAATGACCTCAATCAAACAACATTTATATAAGAACCTTTCTCCAAATTTTAGGCTAAAGAGGTTCTTATATACCGGGGGTCTAAATTGCAAATTTTAGCCTAACAGGTTCTTAAATCTTAAGTTCTTACTTGTGTGTTTTTACTGTAGCTTGAATTTTGTTGGGGACTCTCCTCATTAAGACCTACATGTCGTGACTTTACTACCAGCTTGAAAAATCTGGGGCATACTACAAACCCATTTTTTTAAACTCCCAAGTCTCACCATTGAAGACAAATTAGAAGATTCAAGGACAAGGAGGATAATGAGGCCGCGAGAAATAGATGCACCCGAAGGCTTTATTTTAATTTTCTTTTTCCACCAGAAAGGTCATAAGTAGAAGGAGGTAAAAACAAAAGTCAGATTGTTTCCACTGACTGTCAAAATGTTTCTTGAATAGGCTTATTAAACAAAAAGCCTGTCTTTTTTGTTTATTAAGCCAGTTTGTCCTGCAAACTTTGTTTATTAAACAAGAAACATGGTATTTGTTGCTTGATACGCAAAAACGCGCGCCTTTTTCGTTTAATAAGCAAATAAATTGTGCAATATATAACAAAAGAGCTGCGCTTTTAGGCTTATTAAGTAAAACTTCCACTATACAACCATGGCAACAACTGTATTTCTCCCATTCGCCATTACGGAAAAATTATTTTAGGCGAAAGCAACGCCACTTCAACATCTTTGTATAAGAATTGTATTGAAATTTTGATTGAATAGCCGACTGCTTAATCTCTCCATTCAAAGAAAAAGAGACGTATGTCTTTTCTTTTTGGAACATATTATTTTGCCAGAAAGATATTCACAGTTCCTTTCATGCCGTCAAAAGTGACATGGAGTTTCTCCGCTAAAGAAATACAAGAAAATTTAACGCTTTCAACAAAAAATAATGTTTTCATAACATTCCAGGTTTCCTTCAAAAGTGTAAACAGGAGTGGAAATAAACAATTTACTCCATCCTGCGGGTCAAGTTCATTGCAGGAGACTATGACCCAGTATTTCACCGTGTGAAACGTTCATATCACAAACTTACAGTCTCTTACAACGGTACGATTTTTAAAAGAAGAAAAGAAAACATTCAAAAAACGGAATCTCCGGAGCATAATGTTATTTCTATTTCGGGAGAACAGGTTCTGCAGGTTCACTGCGCTTCACACTCGGTTGGCAAAGGCATGAGCTGGGATAAAATCTTGCGTTCCAAAGATTTTGTGTCTACCAGGGGCGGATCCAGGATTTTTTTTAGGAGGGGGTGCACTCGTCTCTTGCTCTCCTTCAACACCAATAAACCACATAGTTTTTTTTTTGGCAGAATACCAATTGTATTCGAAAACCGCAGGTCATCTCAGGGGGGAGGGAGGGTGCGCACTCCCTGCACCCTTCCCCTCGATCCGTCCTTGTCTACTCCGATGACGCTGTCACTAAAGCGAAAGAAGAGTTTTCGTACTGCAAATAGAATAGCAAAATTAATTATTTCATCGAAAAATGGAGTATTCGTAGTCTAAAGCGAACAAAAAAAGCAACAGCACCGTCAGAACTCGTATCTTGAATCTGACATTAAATTCTAGCGTGCGGGTATGAAGTTCAGTCATGGAAATCTAGCACCCAAAGAAGCTTCAATTTTTCTCATGAATTTGCTTTTTTTGGTTGACCAGCCACGAAGAAAAGACCTTCATCTGTGTTTACATGGAATAGACTTAAAATACACAAAAAGCATGGTGTATATGAACGTAGCGATAATGCCATTCTGAGCTGAAAAGTTTGTTTATAACCAAATGAGACGGTATTAGTTCCTTAATAAGCAAAAAGGTAGCCTTTTTTGTTTAATTAGCAATTAAATTGTTCTTATTAAACCAAAAAAGCACTTGGTTTTGCTTATTAACCGAAAGATACACAAGCCAATGGTTTTCTTTTCCAGTCGCGGCATTGCGGGAAAATTAAAGCGCGAAAACGAATAATAAACTGAGTAGCAGAAGCATCTTTGTTTAAAAAATGTTTTAATTTTTGTGGATAGCCAGCTGCTCAGTCTTTTTATTTAGCGTAAAAAGGAAGCAACCATTTTTTTTTTTTTTTTATGAACAAGATAACTATTTTACCAAAGGACAATTTACGCGGCAAAATTATATGAAATTATCATCAAGGCAGCGAGCGAGGTTCGCCTTCCAAAATTTTGTTTTGAGAAGGAAGAACGGCTGACTTCTTCCATGGTTGATGGATTTATCTAATTCTACTGTTAAGGGAAAATTATCCAAGGCTGTAGAAAACACGACTATTCTATCTTTGGGCGAAATGATTACAATTTTGCACGGCTGCTTATTTTTTATTATTTTAAAAGCGGAATGTGGCTTTACAACGCTCATGAACCTCGGCTTACCAGTAAATCCGCGCAGAAATTGAGCTCTCTCTACTCTTTTCACGTTTACAAAAGTGAAAGAAAAAAATTCTCTTAGTACATTCTAAGTAGAACAGCAACACTTTTTTATTTCAGCTAAAATGGATTATTCAAAGTCTGATTTAACAAAACAAGACGAGACGCAACGCCTTTCAACCGAAAGCTTTGCGAAATCAGAAATGAACATCTGTTGATGAAATTCAGCGTACAGGTCAAATTCCAGTTTCACTTTATCAGTTTATAACGGGGCTCCCTCGCGCGCGAAGCGCGCGTGGGACAGAGCCCCATGCTCATAGAATATGGTTTAAAGAATATGGTCAACCTCTCTTCTTTTGGTTGTCACGTGACTGACCGAGCGTACGTACGTACGCGTCTACAGATTGTACGGGTAGGGTAGGGGAGACTATCAAAAGGAAGGGAGGGGTATCTCAGGCGTGTCTTGGCAAATCCACATCTCTTACATTGGCCATTCACAATATGGTCAATTGACAGCTGTCAAAATAGGATAGCCACTGACCAGTATCACATTGCCATATCGAGGGCTCATGTGTCAACTCATCAAGGTGACGTGATTTATTTGGAAGCTGTCCGCTGACCAGTTGCTTTACTAGGTCGCGCGATCAATGTTCAATCTCATACTTTCTAGCTAGTTTGAGAGCACAGGAAAACTGATAATGCACACATCCATTGGACATCAATGTTTTGATCAATTGACAGCTGTCAAAACAGGGTATCCGCTGACCAGTATCACTTGACCGTATCGCGGGCTCAGGTGTTGACCCATCGAGGTCAAGTATTTTTTTGAAGTTATCCGCTGACAAGTTACTAGTTTTCAAATGATCGCAGGCTCAAGTTTGATTTTTTTTTTCATTCATATGAAATATGTTTTGTTTTTGGGCCGCACAATTAAAATTTTGATTTAAAACTGACTTCGGACCCGAAAATTCAGCCAGCTATTACAGGCAAGACAGTTGCTTTTGACTTTGCTCACCATGGTCACGCGTTGGTCACGCTCTACGTCCCTTTTTTATGCTCTGATTGGTCAAAATTTGACAGGCGAGCTCATGCGGAAAATTTATGCAGCATCTTCAGTCCGGAATATCCCTAAATTTAAGGACAGGGCCAAGTGGTCACGCGACACTTTTCAACCAATGAGAAGGCGCGCTTGTGTTAACACCGCGGCAAAACGTCTACGCATGCGCCAGGTTGAGTATTTCCGGTCTCTTTTTTTAGTCACACTTTCCAGTCAAAGTCTCCCGCGCGCTTCATTCTGTGTGCAGCTTGTGGTTCAGTTGTTCTGCTTTATGCTGCTCGTATTTTTGACTATTTTATAGTTATTGAAATTGCTTTTATGGATAACCAGGCACAGATCACTGAAACAATTAGTCGATTAGATTCAGAAAAGGTAAGACGATAATAACTCAGTGTGTAATTTTGGCTAGAGCGTCAGGTAAACTGATTTTCATTCACGAAAATAAAGTTTTTGACTGTTATTTTTCACTTAACCTGGCTGAAACTAAGACATAAAATTAAAACGTTATCATTGCAAGCTTGTGTATTGTAGTTCTAATTTTCAGTTCTTCAGTTTCTCAGTCTACATGTGTTAAAGCTGATTCAAACTTTATTTGGAAAACGACAACACACAATCGCTTTGTAGTTTTGTTTACCAGTGGGTTTTACCGTGTTGTAAAACGAAACTCTTCTGGGTTGATTGCCATGAAACATAAGCTTAATTATACTGTTGAGCCGGTTGGCAGCAAGTTGACAACTCTATTTATTTATTTTTCCATTCTCAGAATCAGAGAGCGAAAGCTGGCTCAGTGGCTTTTAGAAGTCGAACTTTTCATGCCATGTATTTAGCAGCTAGAAGTTTCGTGTTTGCATGAGATGCAGCCGAGCCGCACAGTCTGAAATTATTGAAGTCTTCAACAAAAGAACAACCATGTAAAAGAATTAAATAGGCATTTTCTTGAATGATAGTCATTTATAGGCATGTTTAGTTTCCCGGTGACTGTAGTCATCAAAGTCAAAGTTGTTATTAAATCCCGCCCATCTTTTGTTTTGAGTTCTTGTTTTCTCTGATAATAAAACAAATTATTGAACGGACTAAAATTTTATTTCCTGGTTTTAGTGTTTTTTATGATAATGATGACATCTTTATTTTGGTTTCTTTCATAAGTATTGTTATTCTTTTCTTAGTTGTCGCCTTCTCCCAAATTAACTTATGCCAAACCAGTAGCATGCAAGAAAGCCAGTAAAAACAAATTCGTCTTGTCGAGCGCTCGCGACCTGCAAACTTCAAACATCATTTTCACCGTTGGTGCAAACAGATAACCATGTGGTGCAAAAGTTTGAGGATAGAAAAATATATAAGCTTTCGAATGAAGTGATTTTTTTGGCCCCCTTTTCTGTCTGTTTTGCCCTTTTTGCTTTTAAACTTGGCGCGACGGCAAAGTTATGCTTACGCTATTGGTTTATATACTAAACCGGAAATAAAAAGCTGACCGGATATTAAAGTTTGTGCTCATGCGCATTGCGTTTTGCCGGGGTGTTGCTTGTGTTTATCAACTAGCCTGAAATTCATTAGCCTGAATTTCATCCGATTACTTCGAGTCGTTATTACTCCCTCAGTAACGTCTGAATCGACCAGCCGTTAATGCCGTCCAGTGACGTCACTACTCCTTGATCTTTGCTTTAATTCATGCAAAAAGTAAAACACGATTTTCAAGTGGCAAACCGAGAAACATCGTTTGGAAATGTCTGCATGATACAGAATTGCTTTATTTTTTTCGATCGTGATTCATGTTTAACGTTCAAACTATCAACTGCATGCAGTACAACTCTGAACGGGTTGTACTGAATTCTATAATCAAACTCGGTCGCAATCACGCAATGAAATAAACACACACATGAAACACTTAGTTCAAAAACACAATGATTTGCTTTAATTGAAAAGAAGCTATTTGGTCCTTAACGAAGAAAAAAAACAAGGAAACAAGAAAGAACAGCTAACAGAATCATTACACTTGACGGTGAAAATAGCAAGAAGGTCGAATTATAACATTGATCTCAGAAAACTTCGCGTAAACAAAGTCACCGGCCGCCGAAACCACAAAGCGGCTCTAAATAAAAAACCTACCGACTCTCCGCAATGATTCTTCATTCGCAGTTCAATTTAGCATTTCAGTTTCGAAGACAAGGGCAATCGGATGAATTTCAGGCTAGAAATTCATCCGATTGCTTCGAGTCGTTTTCTCCTCTCAACAACGTCTGAATCGACGGGCCGTTAATGCCGTCCAGTGACGTCACTCACTACCCGAAAACCGGGTAGTGATTTTGATTGGTTGATTGTCTAAACATTCGCATAATTATGTATAATTATGAAAAATTTTAGCGGGATTGTCGCTTGATATTCAGCGGATCGCATCCCTGGCATTCTTTCTTGTAGTTCAAACATTTCGATAAGCTTAATCTTTATCTTAAACTGTAAAATTGCCCGTGTCTTCGAAACTGAAATGCTAAATTGAACTGCGAATGAAGAATCATTGCGGAGAGTCGGTAGGTTTTTCATTTAGAGCCGCTTTGTGGTTTCGGCGGCCGGTGACTTTGTTTACGCGACGTTTTCTGAGATCAATCTTATAATTCGACCTTCTTGCTATTTTCACCGTCAAGTGTAATGATTCTGTTAGCTGTTCTTTCTTGTTTCCTTGTTTTTTTTCTTCGTTAAGGACCAAATAGCTTCTTTTCAATTAAAGCAAATCATTGTGTTTTTGAACTAAGTGTTTCATGTGTGTGTTTATTTCATTGCGTGATTGCGACCGAGTTTGATTATAGAATTCAGTACAACCCGTTCAGAGTTTTACTGCATGCAGTTGATAGTTTGAACGTTAAACATGAATCACGATCGAAAAAAGTAAAGCAATTCTGTATCATGCAGACATTTCCAAACGATGTTTCTCGGTTTGCCACTTGAAAATCGTGTTTTACTTTTTGCATGAATTAAAGCAAAGATCAAGGAGTAGTGACGTCACTGGACGGCATTAACGGCTGGTCGATTCAGACGTTACTGAGGGAGTAATAACGACTCGAAGTAATCGGATGAAATTCAGGCTATTGTAAAGTAAACTTGTCGAATGCAAAAAAATTCAACCAGATTTTTTTTCCAGGCCTAATTTAATCTTACGGTGATCAAGAGCCATTATGGCTCTTAAATGTGATCGAAGATGATTGCTATTTTTTGGGTGTACATAAGAGGTTATCAACTCGATGTAAGATTTTATTCACTCTTGGGCTGTTTGCAAATTATTTTTCTCTAAAATCACTTAGCCTTTCCCTCAAAAGTCACATGAATGTGCTATGTGCTCTAAAGTTAACTAAATTGTGGAATACAAGTTTATTGTTTGATTTAAATTATAAATAAATTAATGGGAGCCTCGCCTTTAGCCCTGGCTAAATCTATATATTGTAATTACTAAACAAAAAGTGGGCATTTGCATGTTATATTCTGAATTACATGCCAGGAAGATTTTTTTCTGCAGGCGATTAAGGCCTGCGGGGAAAAACGATGAAAACAAGACGTAGTCGAAGACGAAAGCAACGCGACTGCTGAATGTGTGAAGGTGATCGGCTGACAGTTTACTCTCTGCGGATATGCTAGTTGCTGAAATTAAGCAATTTAAAAGCAAACCTTAGACATAATCAGAAGTATTCAGCACATACATATTTTTTTAAAGCCATTTATTCTGAATTATATGACCTAAGCCTTTAGCTTACCATTTCAAACCCAGTGAAAGGCACCGTAAAGAAACTCGGTTTCGTAAGTTTACGACTTGGACAGTGTAGCGAATCGTTCTGTGTAACTTCACCTTCCTTTAATTAATATACATAGGCAATTACGCGATCGCCCGATTTTGTTAATCACTCGAGTGATTAGTAAATGGTAAATGAGTGGAGTCCAATTCGGTCTGTAATCATACGGGTGATTAGCTGAATGGGACGACCGCGTAGAGGGAGTCCGATTTGTTTAATCACGAGTATGATTACAGACCGAATTGGAAGACACGAAGTTCTGTTACCAATTAATCAAAACTTTAACAAAATTTGTGATGTAATATATCAAACATGAGATGCAGTGTTTCATCACCAGTTCTCAAACTCATAAAAAATTCATTAAGAAAATACAAAGGAAATTAATGTTTAATGAGTGTTTGGAAATCGGATGAAACACTGCTTAGTATTTGCATCCTTAATTTCTCCTTCAAAAATGATTTTGTTTGAGAAGAAATATCAAACATTCGACACAGTGTTTCATCACCAGATGAAACACCTCGAAGTTCGTCAAAAATACTCCGCTGCGCGTCGTATTTTCAACTCTCTTCTCGGTGTTTCATCTGGTGATGAAACACTGCATCTCATGTTTGATATATTAAATGAAACACCGAGAAGAGAGTTGAAAATACGACGCGCAGCGGAGTATTTTTGACGAACTTCGAGGTGTTTCATCTGGTGATGAAACACTGTGTCGAATGTTTGATATTTCTTCTCAAACAAAATCATTTTTGAAGGAGAAATTAAGGATGCAAATACTGAGCAGTTTTTCATCCGATTTCCAAACACTCATTAAACATTAATTTTCTTTGTATTTTCTTTATGAATTATTAATGAGTTTGAGAAGTAATATATCAAACATGAGATGCAGTGTTTCATCACCAGATGAAACACCGAGAAGAGAGTTGAAAATACGACGCGCAGCGGAGTATTTTTGACGAACTTCGAGGTGTTTCATCTGGTGATGAAACACTGTGTCGAATGTTTGATATTTCTTTTCAAACAAAATCATTTTTGAAGGAGAAATTAAGGATGCAAATACTAAGCAGTGTTTCACCCGATTTCCAAACACTCATTAAACATTAATTTCCTTTGTATTTTCTTAATGAATTATTAATGAGTTTGAGAAGTATATTTTAAAATCAAAACACAAGAAATTCCACGGTGAGGGTAAAAGGCTGAATGAGTAAAGTGAAAAAAAAGGTGCACAGATGGACGGATAAGGGATAGCAGTTTCTTTTAGTTTCGTTTGCAAATTTTAATACCACTAATAGGTCAATAAGCACAGTCCAGTTCACTGTTGGTATTTACAACTGTTAAGATTATACGTTCTGTGTTAATCTTAGGTGCATCTGTTCCTCTTGGCGGCGAAGACATTCACCAACTTTATAAAAAAATGGAGACATTACAAGTCTGCAATCCAACAGAAGGAGCAAGTAAGCTTGATGATGACAGAGTTGGTAGTGTTAAAAAAATGAATGACAGGGCAATAGGTTTGTAAGCGTTTCCTCCATAATTTGTCTTTTCCTTGTTATTTAGGTGTGTATTTGAGGAAGCAGGAGATTTTTGTCAGGTTGATAACATTTTGCATGATGAACTGTCCTGTACATTTTAACGCATCAATAACTGTCACGAACAAGACCCCCAAAAGAGGGGGTTCATTGGGCTGCCAACTGCGCGATGCAGTGGTTTAATATTTAGGGAAGTAGAAATTAGGGACATTTCCAAAACAAATCCCCTTTCCCCAAAACTCCCTTCCACCCAAAATATTGCATGACAGTATAATGTGACTAGCTTGATCTGTGATCCTGACTATGAAAAACAGCTGGAAAAAAGATATGAGATTGACGTTGTAATTATATAAGCCCTCGAGTTAATACATGTGAATGTTGTTCTAATTTTCTTTTCACGATTAGCTCTTACAAGACTGGTACCAATTTTTTTCTCTTATTTACCTACTGCGAATTTTTATTTAATCGCTGTTTTCCTGAAGTAGCTTTAACATAACATAACATAACATAACATAATCTTTATTTAACGTGGGAGAAACACTTAGCTAAAGCTATTTTGCAGGTTTTCCACAAATCAATATTAAGAAAGAAAGAAAGAAATATGTACATAGAAATGTAAAAATATAAAATATCTAGCATCTAAAATTACAAAATTAGATAACTAAAATTGAATGTTCCTCACTTGTAAAGAGAGCTCAGCATTTTGTTTCACCATGATGCATATACTTTCATGCCTTTCAAAATTGCACAAGTCTACCCGCCTCTAGCGATTCTTCTTCAACTTCTTATCATCATCATCACTGTGCTTACCAGATTCAAGAAACCCTCTACTGGTGCCAGATGATTGCATACAAAAGAAGTATAACGCTCTTTTTAAAATCAAAACACAAGAAATTCCACGGTGAGGGTAAAAGGCTGAATGAGTAATGAAACCACCTGAGAACACTGTTTCTTGGTACCAGACCCTCGTGTCTTCGCTCCCGCCGGGTGTATGTTTTTGTTTGGAGGCGACCGAACCCCGAAAACCGAAATTAATACTGGTTATGGCGCAATGTACGGAAAATGGCGCAAAGAAATAATTAAACTGAAAAGCATGCGCGCGTCTTTGCCGCGCCTTTTTTGGCGCCAATTTGGGAGAGCAACTGCTTTGCTGGTCCATTTATTACTGCTGGCTCAAACCAACAAGGCAGAGTAGAAAGTAGCGATAAGCTTTCATGATACTTAATTATCGATAATTAATACTTAATTTATTTTTGGTGTTTTCGACAATACTTTCTCTCTTTCTGACCACCATTATAATATAGTCAAACGTCAAAACGCTAGAGGGAAAAAAACGCTTGTTGAACGTGAAGTCAGGCTAGCTACAATTCTAGGGATTATTAATCAATACGGTGGACGAATCAGATCATATTTGAGACTAAATGAACGCCCCGAGTCAAACATTAATCAGTAATCCAGAAATCGAGTGAAGCTAACTGCTCTCTGTCTCCTTTCGGCCTCTCCGCGTGTCTTCGCACCTTCCTTGTTTGTGTGAGTGTGTGCATTGATCGTGAACAATTCTAAAACGGCAGGAAGGGAGAAAAAAAGAAAAAAAAACACACTCAATTGCCAAGATTCGAACTCGCCCTTCTCCGCCAGCTGTTACCTTCGTGTGCCGGAAACTTAGCCAAGCAGCCAAGGAAACAAATAACAAGATCCGTTTCATCACTGAAAATTATGTCACGATCACGTAACTCACCGTCTGAAAAAGAAACACTTCTCACGCGGTTTCGAAAATAAATATAGGTAAAAAGAAACTGTTAAGTTAATCGTGCAAACATCTTTTGCAGAAAAGATTTGGGTAGATTAAGGAAGCTTAACCTTCCAAAACATCCTTCCTTCAATGGCCGACTTTCGTGATGTAGTATCGGTGCTGCCATGCAGCCCGACTAATAAAGGCAAGAAAAATCTTTGTAGCTGTGTGAAACATTGTCGTTGTATGTCGAGCCCGCAACATTAAAACAGCGGCTGCGTTTGCAAATTGATTAGCGCCCAAAAAGGGCGCTCTTTTCAGTGTAATTTATTTCTTTGGGTCATTCGTTAATTCGCATAATTATGTCATTCCGCAAGCCATGCCACATACCATTCCGCAAACTCGTACCGCCTTTTACCCTCACCGGAAATTCCAAGATTTTTTTGGCTAGCAATAAAAAAAAAGGCCATTTAAGCGCGCGCTTGATGTGATGGCGCGTACTGTCCTATTAAACTGTCCTATTAAGGCTGAAATCAGGGCAGTTGATAACCAATTTTGGTAATTAACAAAGTTGAAATTTAAACGTTTAACTAATACATTTTCGTTCTAACTAGCAAAAGACCTGGTGAATTAGTGTCCGTTTTACATCAACTGTTTCCATAAAAAGGTTTTACACTCTTTGCATGTATATCCACAAAAGAAGCATTCGTAGTTATTTTTTACGAGAGGGTTACAACACGGTAATACAATAACGTTGATTTATAGTGATTAAATGTGCTTTGCTAGATAGCTACTTTACCTACATGCTACGAAAACTAAAATGAAAAAAAAAAATAGAAAAAGAACAAAAAAAACCAAGATGTGTATTCTCGTCCAAAACCTTTACAATATTGTAATAATTTTTAACTGTAATTGTATTTACAATTATAAAAAAACAAAACAAAACAAAAATAACCACAAAGAAGGTGATTGCAGTGTGTTAGTCAACAGGTGCAGATTTTTTATAAACTTCATGCAACTTCTTAAACAACATGGAACACTGACATGTTGTTTTTGTATCTGCGCAGGGAGTAAAGTAAAGTCTCAAGGAGTGCTCATAGAAGAGTCACAAGGAGATGTTGAAGTACATGAGCAAGTGGCTGAGGTAGGAGAAAAGTATGTTGATGAAACGGTTGAAATTAAAACTGAAACTGAAGATGATGCGGAAGGGGAAAACGTAATTGAAGTAACAAGTGAAGGTACCAGCTGGGCCTTCAAACAGTGGGCTGTTCACCTGATGTTTCCTCCTGATGCTGTATCTGAGCATACGTCAATCGTGGTCCACAGATGGAAATACAGTGTCCGTTCACCCCCACTGCAGGAACATGAAGCCATCACTAGCAATGTTATTGAACTATCTTCGTTGAATGGCCAAGAACTAAAATTTAACGCCAATGTGAAGCTGTCGTTAACTCACAGTGCAACAGACCTACAGGGCTATGAGCTAGTAATGAAAAAGCTGATTGACGAGGAGACGAATTATTGGGAAGACGTAGATGGAACCAAGGACATACGTTGTCGTCAAGACTTCGAAGAGAATCACCCTTCCCACATGAAAATAACGGACTTTTTCTTTCCCGTTGCTCAAGCTGATATATCTGAGTGCTCAACATACACAGTAGTTTGCCGTCTCAAGGCTTCTCCAACTTACACCATCACATCTGGTGGCGGCTCATTCAGCCATCCTGACTTCCCAGACGTGACAATTGCAATCCCTGAGAATGCTGTTGCACCTAAAGCAAAGTTTCCGTTGGAGTTAAAGGTTCAAGAAGTTTCAAATGAAGAATTTGAAGTTGAGGGTAAATTTCTTGGACCTGTATTGAGAATCAAATGCTTTCAAGCTGTTCAGTTCTTGAAACCTGTCACCATTCAGCTGCCAATTTCTCTTCGAGAGCAACAAGACTTGAATCTAAACCCCACAACATGTCTCGTCAGAGTGATGTTCCTCAAGTTCGATAATGACAAAAAAGAATGGATTGAAATCACTGATGATCTTGTGAAACCGCCAAGTCTTGATAGAAAGTTTGTAAAGTTCCATGTGGAACGGTTCTCTGCATATTCGCATTATGTTGAGAGGAAAAACTCCAGGTTTTATGGACAAAGAATCATAAACTTTTACAACAGCCGCATTGTTGTTCAGCCCATACTGACAGTTTTCTTCGCTTACTTTCGTCCGGATCTTTTAAACATTTTGTGTCTGATGTGCTGCCCTGCTCATCTTAAAGGAAAGGTGCTAAGGAAGCTTGAAAAACAAGGCATAACGCCTATTTGCAAAAACTCGAAGAAAGATATGGTACCTGGTCACGATAAGGCATCCGTGTTTGTATCAGGAGGAATATGCCCACATGTAAAGCGCGACATGGAGGAAATTTATCTTAGGCTTTTAGAGCACGATCCAGACGATGCTGAGTTGGAGGTTCGTTTTCTTAATGACAAAATCGTAAGTCGAGTAGAATTTTATAGCATCTCAGAAGCCAGAGTGCCTCCATTGTGTAGATTGCACTTAAGAACGCCCACTAAGTGTACAGCCACTCGTTCGGACTTATGGGAACTTACGCGACAGCCTAGTGCACGAATGGAAGACAGTCCAACGGACGATGTACTAGAAAATCTATCAAAAAAAGTTTCTAACGATTGGAGAACGCTTGGGCGACGGCTAACCTTCCGTGAAGCAGAGCTGCAAGAATTTGATAATAGCCATGAACAAATATCCGAAAAAGCATACGCCATGTTGTTAGCCTGGAAACGAAGGGACGGCTCAGATGCCACCTACAGTGTTCTGAACCAAGCGCTGTGTGATACTCGCGTAAAGCGTAAAGATTTAGCACAAGAATTTTGTTGTTACTGAATTAGGTTTTTACTTTTTTCCTTTCGACACAGCAATTTACTTCCTACATCTTGTCGTCGGTCTAATTTTCTCTTGCGTTTTTGTTCGTGCACACGCAAAATCAAGAGATGTAAATACGTGCGTTAAATTAATTGTTTTGTATAGTGTTGAAGTAATGTACTGCTTACAAAGAGCTTGGCTTCGACTTCTTAGAAAGCGCTTACATACACCCCACCCTCTCTCTGAGTTTTGTTTAAGTCTATTATTACAGAGACTAAGCACCTTAATACACGTATTAAAACATGCTCAGCTTATTCAAATGCTTTACTTTAACTATACTCAGTGTAATGCAAGGATTAGGTAGTCGGTAAAGTCTGCATACGAGCCCAGTGGCGAACCTCACTATGTCTATTTCAGATGAAATCCAAGCCACGACGATCGTTATTGATGAAGGGACGATCTTAGAGATTAAAGCGACGATTACATTCATTTCGATCATGATCAACTTTGACAACGTCGGTCGTGCAATGATATTGGCAACAGAATCTGCCAAAAAGTGTGCTGCAGGTTCAGAGTTTTTGTTTTGCTTATTCACCTGTTGCTTTTTACTTGGGCGGAGCGCCAAGTAAAGGATTCCCGACGCCCAGGAATGTCCTAAAGTTGCAAGATACATAAGTCATAATGTATTGTAAAAATGATGGGTACGATCTTGGAGCAGCCTTTTAATTACTAAGCTGTCCGTTTAGCTTACTTTCCTCTTCCTCAAGTTAATTATGTGTAGTAAATGAGTTATGAAACACAATCCTGCTAGACCTAGAAGGCGCTATCTGAAGGCAAAAAGCATGACATTCAGGACTATTCAGTTGATTGTTTACCTTGATCAAACCATTGTCTTGGCCGTTATCTAAATTCTTAAAAACGCACTGTTTCCAGTTACTTTTCAAGGCACCAGGAGCATAACCAGGAGTTCCCTGGGGACCTTGGATACCACGAGCACCTGGTTCACCCTTTTTTCCTGTTGGACCCCCTGGTCCCGCTGGCCCCGAGGATCCACGAGATCCTTTGTCCCCTTTCTTACCTCTTGGGCCCATGGGTCCTTCAGGTCCATGATTTCCGGGAGATCCCACGGGTCCGGGACTTCCCGGGATCCCTGGAATTCCTGGTGCGCAGAAGCAAGTACTCTGACCACATGACCCAAATAAAGTCTGTTGTGCACACTATTATTAAGGAGCATAAACGCATTAGTTGGTCAATAAACCAGCAGACTAACCGCTTTGAGTAACGCAAAAAAGAAATAGCCTGATAATATTTGTTGATTTTTTTTCGTTCCTGTTGTCGCTGTCACTGATATCGTAATACGACCTGTTAAAGATTGGAAATAGGATTAGAAATAACAATGGGGTTGTTGACTTCTGAGAGAGGATATTTTATATGTCCTCAAGTGAGGGGGAGACACAACGAACCGAGGAAGAACAAGGCCGACCAGATGGAGGGACGACTTAGATAGTTTCCTAAGAGATTGGCGTCGTGTCGCTCAAAACGTGGTTCACTGGAGGTCAGTGGGGAAGGCCTGCGTCCAATGACGGACATTCAACGGCTGAAACTGAAACTGAGGGGGAAATTTACTTTAATCATACGTAAAAGTTTCTTGAGCTTTACAGCTTGCTTCACAAAACGTCATGGCCCTCCGTTTCATTTTGTCGCATTCGTCAGAACGCATCCTAATCTGGCGTTCCTGTTGCACAAAGAAAGAAATTTTCAAGCTATCACGGGCGACTGCAAATTAGCCGCCCTATTTATTTTATCAGGGGCATCTCGGCCGGGAAACTGGACTCCTTTCTACTCGATTTCGTTTCCGTAAGTGACGAACGCGGATCCGGATCTGTAATCAATGATTACCTCTAGTTGTTATAGTTAATTCTCTGACTGACGGGCAAGATGTCGTGGTTCCGAGAGCCCCCGATAAAGAAGAACTCATTTGTGTGGCCAGTTATTGGATCCGCTACTGACCAAACAACTGCTGCTTATAAGCCCCCCCAATTATAGGCCCATCTAGCTGTAAACAAAAAAATACTTCCGATTATAAGCCCCCAGATGTAAGCCCTCCTCTTGTTTGTATCGTAACGAAATCGATTTATTATGAAGTTTTAAAGCTTAAGAGAAGCCAGTAAATGCAAAAAGTACTTTGATAAGCACTGCTATAGCTTGTTTCGAGGCCCTTTTTCTGGTCTGCCGGTTATAATCCCCCTCAGATGTAAGCCGGCCACCGTTGATAAGCCCTACTAAAACCCCTTAGGAAGATGTATAAGCACAGAGCTTATAAGCGGCAGTTTACGGTAAGGGACTCTGCAATAATTTCCTGCAAGGGGGGCGGGGGACTAGAGCGGGGGGCATAGGAGAAAATGACAACAAGAGAGAGGGTAGTTGGATGTAAAATTTAATACATACAGGAGGGGGGGCATTACTTTTTCATTCCTTTTTGCTAACTGGAGAAGTAGTGGAAGAGTTGTTAGAGTTCAAATGTAAATACTAACATTGGAATAAAACTGACAAATTTATCAACTCTAAGGTGTTCTGATCTATGAACTGTTGTTTTCCTATCTGTCATGCAGTAGGAAAGGAATGCCTCTGTTATATATGTTTAAACGGTGCTACTTTATTTGCACTAGGTTTTAATAAAACAGGAAACTTTAATTAAAAGTTGCAAAAGTAGCACTATAATGTTATTCAATGAAAAAGAAAGATGCCAATGTTAGCACACGTGGCATCATAATTTAGCAGAATGAAAAACCCAACTGTTGAAATTTTAATAGCAATACAAATTTAAAGTATGGTAAATAAAACACAGTATGATTAAATTAAGCTTCAAAACTAAAAAAGCTCAATCAGACAGGAATTCCTGAATAGTAAACTAGTTATAAGGGAATCAATCAATCATCAGGAAAAGTGTCATGTTGATTTGATGATTCTGTCATTGCAATGGACTAGAATTTCACAAATAGAAGTTACAAAATTTTGTAATAATTAAAAAATACCTTTTTCCCCGGGGTTTTGTTGCTGCTGCTGTTGCTTTTCGTGAAACTCAAAGTAATCAAAAGTGCATAAATCGCGATGTACAGTGGTATTTTCATACTGCTCTCATTGGCTTCGCTATACCTCGGGATCTGGAAAAACGATAACATGTTACAGTGTTAATCACTGAGTGACACAATATCATAATGCAAGGTATTTGTTTCTATACACAGAATATACAAAGTTTTATTAATTTAAATATTAAAAGAAATAAATTAAACAAATATTCCTATTGTGGCACACAATTTCAAAATATGAAAAAGCTATGCATTCTAAATAGTCCATCACTTCGCGAGATGCTCGCCGGGCGATTTTCTCCAAGCTTTATCGGAGCTTTACGAAGTTTTGTGCAGCAAATATCGGCGCTTCTTGCCTTTCTTTTCGCTCCCTGCTAGTGGGCCTACTTGCGTCATTTTAGCTGAGTTTTTTTTTGTTCTTTGTGACAAACGTTTTTAAATGTACTGATCTTAACTGTATTTTATCAAGTATTGTAAACTTTCTATGACTCAAGCACTAACGTTGTCTGTAATTTATCTTGACTATTTATAATGAAATGGGGAATAAATAACTAAAGCGAAATAAATGAGTTTTTCAGTCTTTTCCCAAGTTTAATCAAGACTGATCTAGAACTCACGCTACGGAAAAAAATTGGAAACAAATTACCAATTCAGTACTAACCTTTCAGTTTTATTGTTGCTGCAGTCTGATTCCAGGAGCTGAGATTGGAATGAATATCTCTGCTCCACCAAAGAGCTGAATCAACATTACATTTTCATGTTACAAACACGTTTGAAAAGAGGTTACGTGTGCAGTATATACGGATGTCGGGGATTTTTACATCGACCAATAATAATATGGTTGCGCGGTATCAAGAAAGGGCTTGTTCGAGGTTAATAAATGACATGATGCAATAGCAAGTTGAACTTTCTGATGATTGATTAGAACGTGTCTCAGTTGACCAATGAATTGTCAGCTGTTTCCTTTGTTGTATTTCCGCCATTTCTTCAAAGACAGAAGGAGAGAAATGTTCACAGAGGTAAACCTCGTATGTATGGCATTTGAAAGAGTTTCCATGCCATTTTAGTGGCTCTTATTAATCAATCTCTTTACTTTCTTACTTTTCTGTATGCTTTTTTTACACTCAAAAATTATAATAGCTCCATATCAACGAGGTCACACCATATCTTGTCAGTATACAGACGTAATGTACAAGTGAGAACTACACTGAACTAAAGTTTTCTTCATGTTCCCAAAATTGACCCTGAAAATTTAAAGGCGGCAAAAGGAGACTCTTAGTGCAATTCTTAACTAGCCCGATTATTTTTCTCTTCAATTTTTCTGGCATGATATCTAAGAGATCAAAGGAATCCTAAAACTAAAATTTGAATGGGTGTAGCTGTCCAGTTTTCGACCCGTAAAAGGACCGGCAATGTTTCAGGCTTCCACATGTTCCAAAAAGCTTCAAAACTTCTGAATTTTCACAGGGTTTTTGGAGAACGGACCTCTGGAGCCAGAGTAGAGATTTCGAGACATGTCAGCAACATTCAACAACGAGACTTAACCAGTGACGGGCTCATAGTCTTACCACTTACTGATTCCTTCCCTTTAAACACATTGACTGAACTTTATTTACTTGAGAAAGCGGCTTGTTTGATATATTTCTGCGGTGATTTCGAATTCCTGCGTTCATTTATCCTTGGACTAGTTTTAAGAGACGGTCAATTTTCCACCTTATTGACTACATCAATGCTGTTCGGATAACCAGCCCCACGGCCTTACGACCTTGCGAAACAACAACGGTGACCAACGGAAACGTCTAAAATAGAATACTAAGAAGAGGCCATACTAACCCTTTCATTCATTGTTATATGCGTAGCATATTACCCTCTTCCTTCTGCGAGTTTTTTTTTTACTCCAGAGTGTAAATATTTTCAAACTTAGACTCGCTACACACAAAAATGCTAAGAAATTGTATCTTTTCAATTACAACTTGCCTCTTTCGTTCAGAAACAAAACGCTTAAAATGACGAGCAAAACTGTCGCTGGTTTTACACGGTACAGTACGAACACCGCAGTATCCTTTAAAAAATATGCATTTTTGTTGCACTTTCTCAATAAAAACAAAAATCAAATATTATCAATGATTTGTCTTGGACTTTCTGAAAATCGCAAAAATTAATTCCCAGCGGCAAAAAATCCCAATCAGTCCTAATCGCAAATAGTAGTTCCCGCAAAATACAAAAAAATCTCCAATCAGCAAAACTAAACTTCCGCAAAAATTTCGTGTCACACGGTATGCATTATCAAAAAAAATATTTACTCAATACTTCCGTTAGTGCTAAAGGAATGGAAAAAACTCATTGAGAAGAGGCTTTAAAATTGTAACGATATAAATCAAAAACAAAACAACGCGCTTTTACCTTTTTCTGTATCCTTCTCTCGTCGTTGAAGTGTTTTAACCACCATTACATTTTCTTTTTTTGCATAATAAAGTTTTCGAGAGAACACGTTTGTAAATCGTCATTAACACTCAGAAGCTACGCAGGCGCGGATCCACTCCGGTTTCGATCAATTGTTTTTATACTGATAAATATATTTTTAATAATAATAATAACTTTCCATTTTGAAATCTAGAGATTAAATAATCTGCTGATTTGCTAGGTTTAACTGGTCAATATCCTTCCTAAATAACTCGGGAACTCAGGAAAAAGGACTTTAGGGAGTTAAAATCTAATAAGTTTTAAGCATGGCCAGTATTTATCCTAGATTCGCGCCTGCTACGCTTTGCCCTGTCTCAATAATGACTGTACAAACCCAGTTGAGTGAGGCGTAATTAGTCGCAGGCAAAATTATAGGAAACCTTAACTGAACGATGTTAGGATGTGATGTAACAACGACAGCAAAAATTGTCCCACGTACAAATCAAGTTCCCACCCGCCGCTTCCGCAACTTTTGATGAGCAAGGACTCATGTCTCGTGGAGTCGCGTCGTTGGAACTTAAAAGTCCATAATTATAACTGAGAAAAATTCCGGACACATAAGCTCTTCATTTCGCTCTAAACCATCGCAAAAAGGCGTTTATGATTTGATGACGTCGAAAGCCGGTTTACTGAAAAAAAAAAAAAAAAACGGCACGTTTTGCTATAATTCGCCCACAGAAACGTTCCATAGCAAAAATGGCTTTTGGTCTTGTAGCAAAATTCGTTTCCAAGTTGTAATATTTTGGATAAGTGATTAAGATTTTCATAAAGAAACTTCAATGAGGTACTCACCTTTTAAGTATTTTACCCAGCGCAGGCACTGTGTGTTGGCGGGAGACAAGCAACAAGCTAAAATCGAAAATTAAGAACACATTTAAGATAGGAGCTTAATATAAATTAAAGAGAATGAGCAAAGAATCCTAAATCATTACGAACCTAAATCTTCGGTCTCGTCGATCCTTGTTTGCGTTAACTTTTGCTGATGACAAACTCCAAATGTTAATTATAGCTCTGATGGCGTTCTCGTCTTAACACGTTTCACTACTCCATGGTTGATCAATCAGTTCAACTCAGAAAGATCCGTCTTTTATGTCGTCGATCATTGCCCCATTGTTTATCATGAATAATTAAAGATTACTCAATTTTAGGAGTTAAAAAAGTCTTGAATGTCTGAGAAAAAGCTTGGTTAATCTAGCTACAGTCACATAAAACCTAATCAGGCAAACTGCTAATTTGTGGGGTGAGGATCAAGAATTTGACTGGCTCAACACCAGAGCTGTCCGAAGTTAGGATTTCCACAAATGGCCCCAGATGTCTAAAGAAACAATGACCGGTCTGTCGATGGCGAAAACTTCTTTTAACAGGCTATAATTCGTAGACTTTTGTACAATTATAAGAACAACAAAATGTCATAGAGGTTTAGGTAACCTCAAAGCGGAGCTCTCATCCGAGAACAAGTATTAAAAATTATTAAAACACATTTTGGAAGGGAGAGAGTCACGCAAACTGTTGTTTATAAGGAATAAAAATAAGCCTATAAGCTAACACGATGGAAGATAGACAAGATACACCGGCATGCCTTTTTCAACCGGGTATCTATTAAGTGAATTTTAAACCTCACAATGTTATCGGGCAGTAATGAGCTCTAACAGAAAGGCTACTTCTTTCAATCAAGAACAATCTGTATCGCTCTAATTTTCAGATGAAATAGCTGCGTAACAAAAATTGATCAGTATGCTGTAATAGAACTAGGAACCGTGAGAAAAAAAAAATTGAAAACAAATTTACACTGACATCGTTCAATTTGCTACTCTTGCTGAACGCGCTGCAAAAACGTTAAATTAAATTTTAGTAAAGCGGGATACATCACTTAGCCTCGCTATGGCAGTTAGCCTATTAAAAGGGCATATAACAGAGAAAAAAAACTGCTATTCTACTTCATTGCAATTCCGATAGTGAATTCTGGGAACATTTCTTGTCACAGTAGTGATTTCTTCAGTTTCATTGCAATAGTACAGGCAATCTATTGTTAGTAACAAAAATATACCGGTAAATAGCTAATGTTAGATTGACTTAGTTGTAATAATGAACATAAATGGTATTGTTCCTTAAAAGCGAGTATTTTGATTCGTGAACGTTCCTTCTATATTTACAGCGGATTTATACTTTCGTATAACGTAGGAATCACTAAAACAGTCGTAACAAAAGTCAAGGCCTACGAGCCCCAACCAGCTGACACCACCGTCGAAGAGATTATGATTTGAAAGTCAGTGATTGACTTAGTTTTGCCAGGGAGCACCCGAAAGAAAAAAATGAGATGATGAACGGAAATTTTGTCAGAATGTATCATATTAAATGATAACTCCTACTTACTACCGCTACTCTTGCTGTCACACGCGCGGCAAAATTCTATTTCATCATCAACATAATCAAGTCGATCTCGATCGGTCTAGTGCAAAATTAAAAAAAGACATGAAAAGCAAGATAGTTGGGTGAAACTACTAAAAAAACTTAAGAGGGAATTCTCCACCCTGCTCGTCACCTCCTCAATCGCTGCTTTTTGTTTCTTTAGTTATAACTAAGAGAATTTATATTGACATCTCGGCATTGAAACTGAACGAAAAGACATG